CACCTTCACGACTCCATCCAAATATCCATCTTGAGGCCGGAGAACAACCGAGCGCACTGTGATGGTTTGGAGGTTCTCTGGGGGATTTTGCGGTGTGTGTGTGGATGGTTACATTCTCACCTTGTCCTTTTGGGCTTGGCTTTGGTGTCTTGGATGGAGGCGACCAACACCAACACCTCGGCACTGGCCTGCTGGCAGACCAGTACCTCTACTGACACTGGCACTGGCAGACGGCTGATGTTGTTTACGCTAGGCATGTTGTTCCCGGTGTAGGTAGCTGACCACCATGCTGTCTGAGTCTCTGGCCAGCCGTTGGCCGGCAATCGAAACTCGACAGTGTGTGTGTGTGGTTTCCCTACACCAACATCGGCTAGGCCGCCTCGTCATTTTCGTATCGCGGTGATGCAGGAGACAAAATATTATGAACAGCTTGAACACGCCAGGCCTGCGTCCTTTTGCCCGTAGGAAGCCAATATTGCGCACGTAAAATATGTGCGCGGAAGCCAAAACAACCAACGGAGCCTAGACTTGTGTGCTCAGCGAGCAATATCATCCAAGGTGCCAAGTCGGCCTGGGCAGAACACGGGCTATATCTTTTGTTTCTGGGCATTGTCGCACATAGATGGTAAAGATGCGAAAGTTCATTCTCAAAAGTGAAGCCGGTCGCGATCGCTGCCGAAAGGGCTGTAACCTCCCCTCCCAAGACGCGGAGGCGAAGATCTTCCCCATGGCACATGCCGCGGTTCCTGGCCTTGTCAACAAGGTGGTGCTCCTCTCATCGGTCCTGTGAGGCTCCAAGGCTAGGAAATTGCTGTCCGATTGCCGGGCGGTAGTTCGACAATCCACCGGTTGCGACACTTCTTGTGATTTGTGAAGGCCCGTGTGAGGCTGTCGTGACAGGGCAGGGGTGCAAGAGCTGCCCTGCGATAGGGACGACAGTGGTTGGCCGGGAATTGCTGGATGCTGAGGAGCTTGAACGAGTCGGAAGGGCGCTAAAGAATGATGGTTCGCTGGCGACACAGCAGGTAGCGGTGCCGCCATCGGCTTTGCGAGTCGTCAACTGAACCACTGCTTTGCCGATTGAGCTTCAGGGTATTCCCTTGTGTAGAGTTTTCCAACTCTTCTTTTCCTCCTTTCGTCAACAAGGAATATCGCATTTGCGGCGAACTTCACAATGAGCTTTGTATGGCGATATGGGCGCACGTTGCATGATAGCGTGAGGGAACTCCCGCGTTCGATTGGCATGAAAAGGATGAATGAAAGAAATTTTTGACATTTGATAGGCTTCGGGAACGTCGGCGGCTTGACCTTGTGTGGGGTGTCAGTCGTTGGTCCTCACCTTTTGCTCCTGATTGAGGAGAGTGATGAGTCTCGTCCCCTTGTTGGCTATTCGCCCATCTTGAATCGCATTGCTCATCGTTGGGGGCCTGAACACTATGACGTAGCTCAAATTTCCCACGTTCGTGATGAGGACTGCCTGTCTGGTGAGAGTGATATCAGATCACCACGGGTGCCCTACAATGGATATGGCGAGCATGACTATTTTGCACGGAGCGGCATCTGTGTGTTGCTATACTGGATGTTTCAATGTTGTTTCCATATGACAAAGTCGCAAGATACTGTGTTACTTAACGTGCAGCTCCCGTCCCGGTTACTGAGGGGACGACAACCTTAATCCAGCCTCGGCCGTGGCCAGACTCCGGAAAGAACAAGTTGAGGGAAATTGATCAACTCGATATGAAGTCCATAGTGCCCAGATGTTTGTTTGGCTGAATCATTCATGTGGTAATCCTTGCTGTCGTTTACGAATGCTCATCTGTAGTAGGTAGCTTTGCATGATGGTTGGAAATAGACATATTACACTCTGTGATAGGTCGGTTTCAATAACACATGGCCTACAAGCCAATGCCGTACTTTGTACACGGCACCCAATTTGACACTTACACGGAAAACAGCCTCACCGTGACTTTGTTATGTCCGGTGAATTGGACCGAATACCGATCAGACGGGAGTCCGATCTCATCAGACCGAGCCGGCAATAACACCGCAACGTCTTGGACCCGTCTCGGTTGAATCCAAGACCCTAGACTCCCCGTTCCCGTCTAAATTGCCATGTCGCCGTTGCACAGCAGACCAAAACAGACCGACGGGTAGGCACGGGTTCGACCGTTGCCCACGGTTCAATATATGCCATGCAGCATGTCACGAACGGCAGCGACTTGTGAATGGAAGACGAGACAGGCGAGGACGACAGCGATGATCATGACGGACCGCCCGCCAGAAAGACTGGCCATGTGCTGTAAAGTGCACTGCAGAGTCCAGACGGCCACACCGTTCAACTGTTTCCAGTGGGCGAGATGGGCGAGCCAAGCCTGTTTCTGGCTGGCATTCGTCGATTCGTTTCCCCTTCTCGTCGTTGCCAGCAGGGATCGAGCTCTCATGGCAACGATAAGGGCTCTTTTGGCGGGTTGGCCACCACTGACTAGCCAGTCAAAGCGAAGCAATTGCACGGCCAGGGTATACCCCAGCTTCCGGCTCATGACGGACAGCGAGAGCAGCCAAAGCTTGTTCGCGCCTATAATCAAGAGCTCGATACAGTCTGACAGTCGAGGATGCAGTGTGTATTCTGCTCTCTCAGTGCTCTGTCGCCAAGGAGTTAGCGTGGAGCTTCACAACTCCGGCCTTATCACCTCCCGTTGAGAGCAAGCTCAGCTTCGCCTGGCCAAGCTGCATAGCGGTGCATCAACACACAATTCCATCTCATAAAAGCAAATGTAAGGCATAGGGGAAAGGCAGACGATGTCTGGGCCAGACGAGGCCGTACGAGGCCATACCGACTGGCGCGGCCGAGGGTAGATAGGATGAATTATGGAGTCGTGATTATCCATCCCGAGTGACCGCCTGGTGCAAATGGCAACTCTGGGCCGGCTGACCGCCAAGTGTTCTGGAGACTTGCTCGCCGTTTGTGTGAGTTTGTGGTGGCCAGCGGATTTGCTAGCTGTGAGGTTGGGAGTGAAGTCCGCCTGGCAGTCGCCCGCCGGGCCTTTCGTGTGGGAAAAACAGAAAATCCTTTCTGATTTCTGGTTTCCTCGTCGTCATTCAAGAAGCGCGAGCCAATCAGAGGCCACAACGGCCGGTGTGGAGGTGGGCAGCCAGAAAATCCCGCAGGCTTTTGGCTGACAAGGTACACGGGTGGAGAGACACGGACAGGTACCTCAGATGGGCACGATTGCGGCTTCTGGTGGTGAGTAGCCAGAGAGCAGAGGCAAAGGGTGGGGTGCTGGTACCTGAACGCATTGGACGATTCAGGTATCCTGCGGCAACTCATTGCGACCTGCACTTTGGGAGACCCGCTCTTTCACAAACCCCTGTTCATGGCCGGGGTGTCAGCCATTGCTTGTGAGGTTGGACTTCTCGGAAGGAAGGCAATCACATTCAATCGCGGTCTGCTCTTTGGGGCGTGCCGTAGTGGTAGTTAGTGCGGTGCGCTGGAAGGTAGTGCTTGTCCGCCTCGCCAGCTTGGCCAGCGCTGGGCGGTCGCACCGTGTCAATTGGACGACCAAAGAGGCCGACCTGAGGCCGACCCAACAAAAAGGTAAGCAAAGAACGGATGGCGAGGACAGTCTGTGCACAGGCGCACACGGTGGCATCGCGTGGAGGCGGGCTCGAACTCGAACAACTAACTGCTTGAGGTTCTCTTTCCAGGAACGGGACGGACGAGCAGACGGCTCCTCTCTCTGGGGGCTCCTCTGGAGTCCTGGTTCGTTCGACAGCCGACCGACTCGTTACTCATTGCTTGCTGGCAATCATTGACCCATTGACCCAATGCCCATTGACTCCGTCGACCGTGTCCCCTTGGCTTCGGCGGTCGCGGGCCCACCATCGCCATCCAAAAATCGAACCCTGCGTGGGCCACAGATGGCGGCGGTCGTCAGGGCACACAAGTCGTTCTTTCCTGCGCGCCGTGGTCGTGGGCAGAGAAGAAGTCGAGGGACCAGGGTCGTGCACGCCCGGTTCTGGTTTCGTAGTCCCAGCGGTCGAACTAGCAAGCAGGTACGCGGTACCTGGTGCTAGCGCAGTCTCCACGCTCTGTTCCGCTCGATGGGGTGCCCGTCTGGAAAGTGGATTCTGGTGGGTGCATTGAGAATTGAAGGGTGAACTGGAAGGTGAAAGCAATGGCGGGTGGGTGGACAGGGCACTCACCAGGGCACCAGAGCTACCAGCACCAGCGAGGACGACAGGGTACCGGGTACAGTACGATACAGTGCCGGGGGCTGCAGCCCACTCGTTGCAGCGGATCGTAGCTGGCGAATCCCACAGTCTGGCGTGCGTACCAAAGAAGGTTGGCTTCCATACTCTGGCCGGAAAGGTCGCTCATCGCTCGGTCGCCAGCCGGAAAGATTGAAATACCTTTCTCGCCCGCTCCCTCGACTCGCACCTCCTCTTCTTTTCCTTACGCTCGAAGGCTTTTTTAATCCCTCCCTTCGTCGTGAATCTCCCCAACTCCTAATACTTTTTTCTTTCTCGACCCATATCCCTCGGTCTTCTACTCGCCTCGTGTGGACGATTTCACCATCTTCCAACACCTACGCCACATACCGCACCACCTATTAGGTCATCAAAACAATACCCTACCGCCGCGTTCCCGGAAACCCTACTAGGTCCGTTCACCTTTTGCAGTCTGCTCGAAATCTACATATACCCGCAACGTCTTCCTCCCACCACCACACCAATCTTGTTCAATCCACTTTCAGCACCACCCCACCTGGCGAACGCGAGCTGCTCTGCCCTGTGGACCTGTTCCTAGGATATCCAAGCTTTGCCTACAACACACTCCACTCCTACTTATACCACCACCACTACTACTTCAACTTCTTCCTCCCACCTACTTTGTCAGACTCTGCTCTCCTCTGCCTTAAGACCTAATCCTAACATCGCTTTCCTTTCTACAGTACCTTAATATACGCCTAGCAGAGCTTTGATCTGCCACAATATCGCCAATGGCGGACCACTCGGCCAGCGGCGCTCCTGCGCTGTCGACCAACATCGAGAGCGGAAAGTTCGACGAGAAGGCGGCGGAGCACCCCGCTCCCTACCAGCCTAAGCCCAAGGTTGAAGACGATGATGAGGATGAGGACATTGATGCCCTCATCGAGGATCTCGAGTCCCACGATGGACACGATGCTGTAAGTTGTCCTCTGTTTGCCCAATTGGCAACGCACAGCATGCTGACCCGCTTGAACAGGAGGAGGAGGAAGAGGAGGGAACTCCCGGTGGCGGTCGCGTCGTCCCCGAGGACATGCTCCAGACTGACACCCGTGTCGGTCTCACTTCTGAGGAGGTTGTCCAGCGCCGCCGCAAGTACGGTCTCAACCAGATGAAGGAGGAGAAGGAGAACCACATTCTCAAGTTCCTCGGTTTCTTCGTTGGTCCCATTCAGTTCGTCATGGAGGCTGCTGCCGTCCTTGCTGCCGGTCTTGAGGACTGGGTTGATTTCGGTGTCATTTGCGGTCTGTTGCTCCTCAACGCTGTTGTCGGTTTCGTTCAGGAATTCCAGGCTGGTTCTATTGTCGACGAGTTGAAGAAGTAAGTTGCCAACAAGGAGCTGCCACTCCCCGCAAACAAGTCGCTAACCCACTTTCCCTTGCAGGACTCTTGCTCTCAAGGCTGTCGTTCTCCGTGACGGTACTCTCAAGGAGATTGAGGCTCCCGAAGTCGTTCCCGGTGATATCCTCCAGGTTGAGGAGGGTACCATTATCCCGCTGATGGTCGCATCGTCACCGATGATGCCTTCCTCCAGGTTGATCAGTCTGCTCTTACCGGCGAGTCTCTTGCTGTCGACAAGCACAAGGGTGACCAGGTTTTCGCTTCCTCCGCTGTCAAGCGTGGTGAGGCTTTCGTCGTCATCACTGCCACCGGTGACAACACCTTCGTCGGTCGCGCTGCTGCTCTCGTCAACGCTGCTTCTGCCGGCTCTGGTCACTTCACTGAGGTTTTGAACGGTATCGGTACCATTCTCCTTATCCTCGTCGTCTTCACTCTCCTCGTCGTTTGGGTTGCCTCTTTCTACCGCTCCAACCCCATCGTCCAGATCCTCGAGTTCACCCTTGCCATCACCATCATTGGTGTCCCCGTCGGTCTCCCCGCTGTCGTCACCACCACCATGGCTGTCGGTGCCGCCTACCTCGCCAAGAAGAAGGCCATCGTCCAGAAGCTTTCCGCTATTGAGTCCCTTGCCGGTGTCGAGATTCTCTGCTCTGACAAGACTGGTACCCTCACCAAGAACAAGCTCTCTCTCTCTGAGCCCTACACCGTCGCTGGTGTCGACCCCGAGGACCTCATGCTTACTGCCTGCTTGGCCGCTTCCCGCAAGAAGAAGGGTATTGATGCCATCGACAAGGCTTTCCTCAAGTCCCTCAAGTTCTACCCCCGCGCCAAGTCCGTTCTCTCCAAGTACAAGGTTCTCCAGTTCCACCCCTTCGATCCCGTCTCCAAGAAGGTCGTCGCCGTTGTCGAGTCTCCCCAGGGTGAGCGCATCACTTGCGTCAAAGGTGCCCCTCTTTTCGTTCTGAAGACTGTCGAGGAGGACCACCCCATCCCTGAGGAGGTTGACCAGGCCTACAAGAACAAGGTTGCTGAGTTCGCTACCCGTGGTTTCCGCTCTCTCGGTGTTGCCCGCAAGCGTGGTGAGGGTTCTTGGGAGATTCTCGGTATCATGCCCTGCATGGATCCCCCCCGTCACGATACCTACAAGACTGTCTGCGAGGCCAAGACTCTCGGTCTCTCCATCAAGATGCTTACTGGTGATGCCGTCGGTATTGCTCGCGAGACTTCTCGTCAGCTCGGTCTCGGTACCAACATCTACAACGCTGAGCGCCTCGGTCTCGGTGGTGGCGGTGACATGCCCGGCTCTGAGGTCTACGATTTCGTTGAGGCTGCCGATGGTTTCGCCGAGGTCTTCCCCCAGCACAAGTACAACGTCGTCGAGATTCTCCAGCAGCGCGGTTACCTTGTTGCCATGACTGGTGACGGTGTCAACGATGCTCCCTCGCTCAAGAAGGCTGATACTGGTATTGCTGTCGAGGGTTCCTCCGACGCTGCCCGCTCCGCTGCCGATATCGTCTTCCTTGCCCCTGGTCTCGGTGCCATCATTGATGCCCTCAAGACTTCTCGCCAGATTTTCCACCGCATGTACGCCTACGTTGTCTACCGTATCGCTCTGTCCATTCACTTGGAGATCTTCCTCGGTCTCTGGATCGCCATTCTCAACCGTTCCCTCAACATTGAGCTTGTTGTCTTCATCGCCATTTTCGCCGATGTTGCCACCCTTGCCATTGCCTACGACAACGCCCCCTACTCGCAGACCCCCGTCAAGTGGAACCTTCCCAAGCTCTGGGGTATGTCCGTCCTCCTCGGTGTCGTCCTTGCCGTCGGTACCTGGATCACTGTCACCACCATGTACGCTCAGGGTGAGAACGGCGGTATCGTCCAGAACTTCGGTAACATGGACGAAGTCGTCTTCCTCCAGGTCTCTCTTACTGAGAACTGGCTCATCTTCATCACTCGTGCCAACGGTCCCTTCTGGTCCTCGATCCCCTCGTGGCAGCTCAGCGGTGCTATTCTCATCGTTGATATTATTGCCACCTGCTTCACCATCTGGGGCTGGTTCGAGCACTCTGACACCTCCATTGTTGCCGTCGTCCGTATTTGGATCTTCTCCTTCGGTGTCTTCTGCATCATGGGCGGTGTCTACTACATCCTCCAGGACAGCGTTGGCTTCGATAACCTTATGCACGGCAAGTCCCCTAAGGGCAACCAGAAGCAGCGCTCGCTTGAGGACTTTGGTAAGTTTCAGTCACTTCTCTAACATTGATCCATTGGACACTGGCTAACATTACTTCCTTCACAGTTGTCTCTCTCCAGCGTGTCTCTACTCAGCATGAGAAGTCGCAATAAGCGATATAATGATTTTCCGGGTGCAATGTTCATGAAGGTCGCCTGGTTGAAATGACGGGATGATAACTCCATATACCCCCCCTTGGTATACCCCTTGGTGGCAACTCAGCCATTGAAGATTTTAGATTAGGGCTGGGAGTTTGCCGCCAGGCTTTTCTTTCTGGAATTTGTATCCACAACTTCTTTTGGGGTATACGTACCCATTACATTTCTTAGATACTAATACTAAAACCGTAAAATCTAATAACGTAATAAGTTCCTGTGAAGCCTGCAATGCTCAGCGCGTTGAAGTGAATTCAATTTTGGACACTTGGTATGACTTTTGAAGACTTCAAAAGCACACTGGAGATTTGGAGCCCTGCAGCTCCTCATGTTCAGGTGGTTTCCCAGGAAGTTGGGCGGCGTTGTAGGTAAGGAAATGCAGGTACCCGTGACCTGGCAAAGTGGGTCTGACTGACTCCAAAAAGTCTGAACACCACGCTAACATTAGGCTGGCCACGAACGCAATGACATAACTATTTCTCTTCCCTCAACTTCTGACTGGCATCTGGCGCCATTCCCGACTCGGTCAACTTTCCAAGTGTCAAAACTCTAGACCCCAAATACACAAAACACTCCTGCGTAAGTGCTCAACAAACGAAACACGCTCAGACACAATCTCAGCAAAGCCAAAGGCAAATTTTAATAGTCGCTGACTACGTTCACAGGTACTTACTGTGTCTTTTATCTCTACCTTCGACTTGCAGTGCATCAACACGCACTGCCTAACGCGGGAGAATCTGCGAGTTGCCTCCAACTATCATCCATTCAGACGGCCTTCAAACTTAAAGAGGTACTCCTGGCTTGCCGGCACGGACCGGGTTGGCTGTGACGACTCGGCAGCATAGAGCATCGTCACTTCCCCTTGTTTCACAGGCGGCGGCGGACTGATTGCATCAGAAGGGAACGAGCTATCGCGCATTGTCTGCATTGTACGAGCAAAAGAGGCAGGCGAAAGAGGCCTTTCGGGACAGCAGAGGGCCAAGAGTTGCACGTCTTTGCACAAACCGCTTGGCTAAGCAAGGCTGCAAGATCGAACCGGGAACATCGCTCCTGCCAAGCGAGCAAACTTAGCAGCGGTCTTTGAAACAAAAGCTCCTAGCTGGAGGGCAGCTTTGTTGGGCTTTAAACCTCGCGGCTGCAGGCTGTGTTATTTGGGTTTCGTGAAGAACCGACCTCTGCCCTGAAAAACCTTGGCACGATTATTTTTGTGTCCTGGGCTGTGAGGACGTAGGGGGGAAAAGGTTGGATGAGAGACTGCTTGTGAGGACTGCTTTTACAGGAACGGGCCACGAGCAAACGAAAAGCCATTCGGTGGAGAACGACGTTCGGAAAGAACGTGAGGCTATTCTCGTCGTGGCTTGTGGCAGCATCTGTCACTTGTGATATTTGTAAGGACTTTTTGTCCTCTTTCGTGGGAGCACATTATTGCTACCTTGCCAAGTCGGCAGCAGCAACAGCAAGATTTCGGAGATGCCGGTAGAGCTTCCAGGGTTCTATTTTGGTACGTACGGCGGCATCATTCCCTTATCCGTGGCTGCTCCATGATGTGGAATCCGAACCAAGATCGGGAAAGCCGCGTAATGGGGGAGGGGGTAACCGCGTAAGGACTTGTCCAGCTCACTAATGCTCTTCTTAGATCCCGAAAAGGGCAAGTACTTCAAGATCGAAGACAGCAAAACCGCCCCAACAACCCGATATACAAGCAACGATGTAAAGCGGCGTCGCTTACTCGAGGAGAGGAAGCGTGTAGAAGACGAAAAGGCAAGGAGGCTACTTGCGTTCCCTAAAAAACTGAAGCGAGCGAAGATCCTGGAAGACACTCTCTTGGGAGGATTCCTGGAAAGAGAGACAGCTCATGATAGGCCTGTGGTTCACAATGGCCGAGATGACGATACGGTGATTAAATCATGGGCCAGAGGGTTGAGTGACAAGGGCAAGGTCGACCTCTGGCCGGACCTAATTCAAAACGGTATCATGATTGGAACCATATCTCACTTGTGGGTTGGAGGTTCGGACTCGAGGACAGGTCTCGGTGTTACTTATGCTGGTAGGCGCTTTTCTCCCAGAGGCTGGCTTGATTCGGTTACTGATGATCAGAGCAGCGGTTGACGACGACTCCCTGACGAGCTCATACATCCCGAGGGATGGGGCTGATGAGTAAGTTGTTCTACCTACGTTGACACTTGGTTCAGTGCTAACCTGGGCTCGACATCAGAATCAACTTCGCCTACGCGAACGTCAGATACAGACGAACCGACTTCATGCCAATGCCGGAAACAATCACCATTCCTCAGCTCTCCTCACTCAGGTTCCATGAGCCATCCGGCAGGATGTTCCTCACATCTAGGATGCCGACGCGCACTCCGTCTATCGCTTGGTTCTCTCCAAGCCAATCCGAGCCCCCCATAGAGGAAGAGGAACGGCCGACATGGCAGCTGGGCAACTGTAAGTCTTTATACAATCCCTCCCCATCTTCCATAACGCCAGCCTTGATAAAGCCCAGCAGTTGACTTGACTAACTTCTCGCCAGCACCCAACTTAATCAAAATCTCCGCGCCCACCCCCAAGGGCACCAAATACGGCGTCATCAACACCTCCTGCCCGGCACCCTCCTATTCCCGCCTGACCTGCATCGCCGGCGGCGACGTCGGTCTCCTCCAACTTACCAACGACTCCCGGCTAAGCTGGCTAACCAAGCCTGGTCCGCCGCCATCCTCCTCCTTCTCCTCCCTCAAACACAACCTCGACGCCCCACCACCCATGGCCAAGCACGGCGAAGTCCTCAGCCTCGATTTCCTGACAGTTAACCCAGCCGAAGTGATCCTCGTCGGCGGCCGCACCGGCCGCGTCTGCGTGCTGGACATGCGCATCCCCGAGGAAAAATGGGGCTGGATCAAGCACCCATCCAGCGCGGCGCACGTCCGCTCCGTCGGTAGTCACGGGGTGCTAGTGGCGGGTCCGATGAGCGCCATGCGTCTTTATGATATCCGGTGGTGCAAGACGGAGAAGGGCAGCACAATCTCTGACGATTTCGACGGGACCAGTACGATGGATACCTCTGCCGCCATGGATTGGCAACCCTCACGCTCCGGCTCCGGTCCTTCAACCAGCAGAAATGGAAACAGAAACAAGCCATATCACAACCAACAAAAAGCACCACAACACCAATCCCGACCCAGACACAAAGCCAGAAAACTCACCCCCTTCAACCCCCTAACCATGTCGACGCCCACCGCCCCCATCCTCACTTTCCCTACCTACCGCAACGCCGAAAACATCCACATCGGCCTCGACGTGCTCTCCGCCCCCAACTACACAGCTTACAACCTCGCAGCCGCCGCGCACGATGACGGTACGGTGGGCTTATACTCTTTACTCGACGGCTCGCGCGTGCCGAGCAAGACTATCGATAGGATCGGCTTCTCGGGTGGAGGGGGAGGAGATGATGATGACGACGATGCAGATATGGGGCCGTATGATGCGTTCAGCAGGGGCAACGTGATCAAGAGCTTGATGTTCCAGACGTTACCGGGTGATAGACATCCGAGTCTGTTTGTGGGTGAGGGGCCGCGGATTAAGAAGTACTCGTTTGGGGTTGAGACTAGTAAGGGGAGGAAGAACAAGAATAGGACAGCGAGGGTGGAGGAGGGGTATGGCTGTGAAGAGGAGTTCTGAGGACACATTGCGAGGTGAGATCTTGGTGGGGAATGGTTATCTGCGATCTATGAATTACGACGCATTTGTTACTGGTGTTGCGAAAGAAGAGTATGCGCTGGGCACGGATAGAGTTGGTATAGATTTAGCATAGTGGTGTTATCATTTGTTATTTTGTAAGAAGGGGTACGTCACCCGGTGTACATCCCCTCGGCATCGCAGAAAAGAGTGCGTCATTAGAGCCAGTCATCCTCATTAGTCAATATAACGCGGAGCTCAACAACACCCATATAACTCCGCCATATCCTTCGTGTATCGACATTCCCCTTCGTGAGTTTGTGACTCCTTTTTTCCCATCATTAGGGAAGCGCATGTGTGAGCGACCCATTGTTCCCCTATTATCGTGCATACCCCGTCCATTAGATGTGCTTCTTGCTGTAACCATAGCTGCCATTCATATGTCCCGAAACCCTCTGAGCAGCAATGACCGAGCCGTTCACCTTGCTATTAACATGTGAGGCCAGTCGGCGGCTTGTTGCACCTTGCGCGCTGAACTTGTCCAACACGCTGATGAAGAGAACCTGGATGAACCAGATCCAGATTCTCAAGAGCCAGTCAAGAAATCCCAGCTCCGGCTTCTTGCCACGGCTGTACATCGAATCTCTGTACTCGAATGGAATCCGTCCGCCCAAGTGTTCCATGGCAACCCGAATGCCACTGCTAAATCCATCTTCATGGAACCCGTATTTGGTCCAGGCGCCTGCGTAACTGATACCTCGGGTGTTCTGGATGTGGTCAAGCCGGTCTTGAGCTTTGATTGCAGCGAGGGTGTAGAGCGGGTGCGCATAGATATAAGTTCCTTGGACCGTCGAAGGGTCCGGTTGATGGAGAGGGTTCAAGGTCACCAAGACATCGCCGTACTGCTCCCGGGGAATATGCTGCAAGATGTTCATGTTGTAAGTCAAAGACACCTGATCAATATTCCTGCCAGTAACGGGAGATGATTTGGTCAGATAATTCCAACTAGTCCAGGCCCTCGGGGACTGCGGCATGAGCGAGGTATCAGAGTGCAACACCGCAACGTTATCTGAAGTCCTGAAGTTGCGGAGGATATCTCGCTCCTCGTCGGTGGCTGAGTCCCGGATGATAGAGTAAGCTTGGTCCCCGTGAGTGGCAAGGATCACATGGTCAAAGACCTCAGAGTGACCGCCCTTGATGTGCAAACGAACACGACCATCAGGTTCGTTGGTGACCCTTGTGACTTCAGACCTGAGGTGCAGATGGTTAGGCGGGAAACCATTCATGACTGCGTCGATATAGCCTGTGGAGCCAGTGGCTATCGTAAGCCAGTCTGGGCGAGCGGCAACTGTAGACAGAAGATGATGGTTCCATCTGCGAGGGGGTCAGCACAGTTGAACACAATGGCACATGGTATGGTGAGATACGCACAGAAATCTGACCAGAGTGATGGCAGGGAATTCGAGAGAGCACTTCTCGGGGCTGGTACTCCACACAGCCGCGGTCATGGGAATGAGGTAGTCGTCTCGGAAGGCATCTGAGTAACCTTCGCGGTCCAGATATTCGCCAATTGTCTCCTCGGGATGAGTGGCAACATGCTGGCTCTTTGCCTTGGTAGTGTCCTCAAGATCCACTCGCAGCACATCAAGGGCGTATTGGTTGAAGCGGATGATATCGAATATGATCCTCCACATCCGAGGGGAGAAGATATTGCCCCGCTGAGAAAATAGGGAGTTGAGTGAGGACCTAGCCCACTCAAACTTTCCGTAGTCTCTAGAGACCGAAAAGGTCATCTCCGTCTTGACAGGCTCAATACCGATGTGGCTGAGAAAATTGAGGAAGTTGGCTATAGGGTGACGTTAGTGTATGCAACCACACAAACTGCCGATGTAGACTACTGCAAGGTACCGATGCGTGGGTGGGACTGGGGGAGGAAACGTACGGTATGTGGCTTTGTTCATGACAATGAAGCCGGTATCGACCTTGGTGGTGTGTTTTCCCTTGACAAAGTCTACCGTGTTGGTATGTCCCCCGAGCCGGTCGGAAGCTTCAAAGAGGTGGACATCGTGAGGGCTTCTGTTCAAGGCCCATAGAGCACCGATTCCCGCAACACCACTGCCGACAATGGCAACCTTCTTCCTGGGGTAACGGTTAGCTTCGACTATTGTCGCCATGGGCAGATACGATCCGTGAGAAGCTGTATGGTGTAAGGAGGGAAGAGCGGTGATAGCAGCCCCGCTGGACTTGACGATATCGAACAGCAATGCTTCTCGAAGCAACGTGGCCCGGACTGCATGCTGATGAGCAATGGGGCAGCTAGCCAGCCATATAAAGGTGATGCATAGCTTTATGATGAGATGGCGGCCCTACGACAGCCGATGGAGATCGAAGCTCGTGTCTTTCCAATGACAACAGGGCTGGCTGGCCGGCTGGCTGGCTGGCTGGATGGCTGATGCTGGTCAATGCAGCCGAAACAGGTCAGCCTGTTGGGACCACTTGGTCGCCGTGTCCATTGGGCCTGGAGCCCCTTGAGCCGTAGCCTGAGGTAGAACAGAGCATCAAGATTCCCCTTCTTGCTTGGGCAGCAGAGGTGCTACACATGCATCGCTGTCGTACGTAGCGGGCTTGTCCGGGTCCGACAGCGATTGGCTGCCATCCCCAGAAAGTTGGTGGACTGGCCAGCAGGAAGACAACAAAGATAAGTGATCCGGAAATCTGTCCTGCGCTCGCAGTGGCTGACAAGACAAGAGTGTGGTACAGCATGATGGGTGTGCGGGTTGAAGGGGAATCCGACGGCGCAAATGGATGAGTTGATAGAGAATGGCACTTACATAGGCCCGTCCGCCAGCGCCTCCTGTCCACCCATCTTCTCCATTGATCACTTCCTCGTGTAACCAAATGGCGATCTGATGTAGCGTGGGGAATTGAGAAAGGGCATTTGATACCCGATTGATAAGCAGCTTAAAAGCGTGCGCAGAGAAAAATGACGAGGGTTTCCACTTGGCCCGTCGATATCTCCAGCGTCCAAGGTTTCAATCGTTTGTTGTCCCGTTCAGACGTGGGTTGAAGGTGAAGGGAAGAGGTAGGATGGCAAAGCGCTTGCTTCACGGCACGTTGAAGTGTGTAAGTTGTGAATTGAGGAGGAGGTATGGTGGTCGCTGCCAAAAGTGAAGCCATCTCCTGCGATTCTGGCAGCGAAGATGCACCTGCGTTTGCCTATGCCCAAAAACCTTCAATTAGAAGGAGCGACCATCGGTTGAGCTGCACCTTGAGGTCGGACCTTCCACCGCCATCTGAGGACGGCAGGCAGAAAGTTCGGGTGAGACCTGGGTTATCCAACTGGAACCTGGAACCAACGACCCTTCACGATCTTTGGGTAGGTTCGAGGGGAACGCCGCTGGTGAGGCTGGGAACAGGTGATGGACAGGAACGGATGAGATGTTCCTCGTCACGACAATACCAAGCGCACGGTATCACCTGCCAGGGGCTGCCCCTGAGACGGACGCATACAATCATCGCAAGACTATCGGTCGCCGCTTACTTTCCCCTTTTTTCTTGAGGAAGCATTGTTGTTCTTGACTGGCTGTCGAGCATGCCACGAGAGAAACCCCACGTAGAATGCAACACGACTAGCTGACCGAAGGTTCGAGCTTCGATGATCGGCTCAGTTTGACGGCTGGTATTGTGGCAGGCTGTATGGATAGATTGATCGGTGAGAGGAATACAAGATCAAAATTCAGGATGTGTGATTTCCGATCATGTTTTGATAGGGAGATGGACAAGGGACGGAGTGACAATGCAGCATCAGATCAACGCGACAAGCCGGTGGTGATGGAGGACAAGGGTACAGGATGCGGGGTTACTCTTAGTTATAAGGCAACGAAAATGACAAAGTATCAACAAGTCACTTTGGCGGAGTGGTTAACGCGCTGCCCTGCTATTCGTAAGAAAGCAAGTTTAGGCAGTTCCCTCGGGAGCACAGGTTCGAATCCTGTAGGTGACGCATTTCTTTTTGCTTTTTTTCGGTTCCTGTTCACCAGAGGTTTTCGGTGTCGATATTCGACTCAACATTGCTGCACATGCACAATACATACATACAACGATGTTCTCCTTTGATATTCTCAAATATTCGTAAACTGAAATTTGCAAGCTGCTGGTTTGGAAAACAACACTAAGCCGAGCCAGCAAAGTTGGTGATAACAGATTTACGGGAAGATTGAAGACGGAAGAGAGGGATCGTCATGCTGGAGATGTCTTGAACATAAGAAAAATTGCAATCTGGGTTGTGCATGTCACTTTTTCTGGCATATGAGCATATGTATCATGAGTTCACGACGTTCGGAGCTTTGAAACCAACGGTACCAACCCCCAAGACCTCTTCTCTGATTGTCGAGCAAAGACCATTCATTCCCTTCAGTGTTCTATTACTGCCACTAATTACCATCATCTGATTTCCAAGCCTTTACTGCAATGGCTAGGTCAACCGAAGAACAGCAAGTCCGTGTCGTAGCATGGAGAGTACCAAACTCGATGACAACCTCCCCCAAAAACAAGACGTGGTCACGCAACCCACAGGTCAACAATACTTGAACATGCTCTCCCTCGATGCCAGTCCAACAGGGCACCGTTCATGGCACAATAGATCGTTCCGGACCGGAACGGTACTATAACCAGCTAAAGAGAGCCGAACCGGTCACTGCTGGACAAACCGACAACAGAGCATCCGAACGCCACGCCGGTCCCGTCAAAGACGTACGGGCACGGGCACCGTGACGCCGGGTGCCCGACAATATGACGGGAACCGACGGAAACATCGAATGAACTTCATGGATATCGTGTAGTTCATTCATGTCTTGCACTGGTTATATCCATGCCAGCGACTGAACGCGAGACACTCGCAATCTCGCAATCATAGCACCATCATTGATAGAAGCAAAACTCAAAATCATATCCTCTAACAAAGCATGGTTTCATTCATGGTGGGATGTCAAAATGTTGAAGCCAAACGGGATCGCGTGTTCATCACGGAGCCTTGTTTTACGAAGGCAACGCATTCACAGCAATTCTTGAGACTCTCAGTTTTAATCTCCCCGGTTAATACAACCCAACGACTGTCTGAAAAAGAAGTAATTCGTTGTTGGGCCTATATTCTGCGTCACCGGGTGCAACTTTCTGAAGAGAAAAAAAAGGAGAAAAAAAGGTTCCAAAATTGGGGTGGGGAGGGAAGGCTTAAATACTTCTGGAGGTTTCCCAGTTGGTGGCCGTGCACGGGGCAAGCGCCCCGGTTCTCCACTTGGAATTTCAGGCCGAGCATCAGCCGGGCCTCAACCGGCAACGCAAATGGGAAGCGGCAGGGCTGCCCCTGAGTTTCAGGGTTAGGGGTCATCATAGCAGTCCGCCCTGGACAGGATGAACTGTTTCTGATGACACTTCCATCAACATCACAGTACACACTTCAAAGAAGAATAGTAACATACTTTGAAGAGATCGTTCCTTCTATGTAGATACTTTTAAGTCGAACTCCGTTACCAAAACAGACAAACAAAAACAGACAATGATATCTCAAACTCTGAAATCCCGGGGCAGTGTCCTCGCAAAGGCTATCTGATCTGACAAGATGATAAAATCGACAAACACTCAGACTTCCCTTTAGTTCCGTCCTCTTCCGCCTTTGCTAACACCTCCACGCATAGGTCCACCTGTCCTCCTACCCTCGCCCAAATTCCTCCTGCCTGAATCGTTGCCGCCGCGACCACCGCCGCGAGGACCACCTCTCCTGTCACCGCCACCACCACCCCGGCCACCACCGAAGCCACCTCTCCTGTCACCACCACCACCGCGTCCACCACCGAAGCCACGGCCACGGCCACCACCACCACCACCACCACCGCGTCCGCCACCGAAGCCGCGGCCACCGCCACGACCACCGCCACGGCCACCGCGGCCCATATTTTGCCTGATCTCCTTGGCTGTGTTATCATCGATGTCCATACCATCATCCTCGTCATCGCTATCGTCGTTCTTCTTGCCCTTGCTGGAGAATTTGAGCTTGCCGCGGAGACCTCTCGTGGGCGCATCCTTGCCCTTGAGCGCCGCCACGTAGGCACCAACGCCGTCCTCGTCGTCGTTGCCGCGCTTGGGCGCGTCGACCTCCATGACATCGCCGTCCTCGCCAAATACGAGCTTGCCGTCCATGTCCGTCTTTGCCTTGGACTTGGTGGTGTGCCTCTTGAGCTTGGTCGGCTTGGTGGACGAGATGTTGGCGAGGGCGTTGCGGTCGAGCAAATCCAGAGGCTCGTTCTCGTCCTCCAGAATGTACGTGTTGCCGCCCTTCTGCTGTGACTGTCCCTTCTTGCTGCGCTTGCCCGTCATCTCGGCGTCCGAGTCGTCGGACTGCTCCGACTCGTTGTCGTCGTCGCTGCTGTAAAGGGCGTGGTCGTACTCGCTCTCGAACCGGCTGGCCTTCCTGCCACCGGCCTCGTCGTCCGAACCCTCGCCACCCTCCTTACCGGCCTCCTTTCTCCTCTTCGCACGCTCCTTGGTCTTGCGGATGTTGACAATCAACTTCCTGTCGTCTTCAGGGCAGTACTTGCTGACGGCCTCAAAGCCGAAGCGGCGGATCATGCGCTCGACGATATGCTTGACCTTGGAGCGGAAGTGACCCTTGTGCTCGTGACTCCAAACCATAACGTTGGGAATGAGTGTGGGAAGGCGGGGGACCATCATCTCGGTAGGCAAGCTGATGATGCAAACCTTGACGAAGCCAAGAACGCTCTTCACGATCTCGCGGTTGTTGGAGGTGAGGAAGAGGTCCATGGTCTGGACGAGGTCGGACAAAGTCTCCTTGCTGACGGCCTCGCGGAACTCGTAAAGGACGCGGGTAATGGCAGTGATAGAGGCCGAGATCATGTGAGGGGTGCTACCAGCCAAACCGGCACTGACCATGGTGAAGAATTCCTCAATAGAGGCGGTAGCCGGAGGAGCATCTGCGGGCATGTGAGGGACCTTGCTGTTATCGATTAAGGAGCCCTGAGCAAGAACCATCTTCTGACCAAGGAGAACCAAGAGGTCGAAAGCGGTAGTGCGAGCCTTCTCGTTGTGCTCCTTGCAGCCGATGACGACCTCCGAAAGGATGGAGGGGATAAAGTGCAGGGAGTCGTTGGGGATGAAGTGAATCAGAGCAGCAATGGCAGCAAGACGCTCTCTGCGGGCAGGCGCCGACACCTTCTCGGAACTAGAGAGGAAGAGAGTCTGGAGCTCACCATGTCTCTCCTCGAGGGCAGCCTTGCCAATGGGCGAGTCAGCCAAGCGAGGAATGAGCTTGTAAGCCTTCTTCTGCAGTTGAGGATCATCATCCTTGAAGATGACCACCGAAGCAATCTTGAAAAGAGCCTCAAAGCTGTCGCGGGGGAGGTAGATGGACATGGTAACGACCAGATCCATAAGAGTGTGAGCAGCAGAAGGCATGTGATCGGCCTTCTGCTGTTGCTGGGGCTTCTTCTCAATAACCTCTTGAAGAGCCTCGGCAAGCTTCTCGCACACCATGTTGAAAGTCTCAGTAAGGCGAGCGGGGGGAATAATGCTGAGGTAGGCGTTGATAGTCTGGAGGACAGGGCCGCGCTTCTGGGGAAGAGTGGTGCTGTAGACGTTGAAGAGAACGGCGAGGAAGTCGGCCGCAAAGGTGGTTCCGAGGTATTCGAGGTTCTTCTGGGCCTGCTCCTTGCTGACCCTGCCGAGGAGGATAAGGTCATCGACCTCATCGGAAGTGGCGATGGCCTGGTTGGACTCAACAACGATCCTGAGGGCACGGCAGATATCCAAGCGGAGGTCAACCTGCTCATACAAAAGGTTGGTCAACATCTCAGCGAAGCCAGTATCGAAGGCCTCGGTGAGATCAAGGGGAAGGTCGCAGTAGCCGGGAAGAATCGACCAAATTTGCTGAACAACAGTCTCGAAGATCTTGATGTGAATGTTCTTCTCGCCCTGATGCTCAATCACACGCTGGAACATGATAGCACTGAGGGGAACCAACTCGCTCTTGAAGTGCGCAAGGTTGGTGTTGGAGGTGTAGTCGCGGAGAAGAGGAAGCATCCAAGCTCTGCCAGGCTGACCCTTGGCGGGCTTCGCGAGGTTGAGGGGAAGCACGTTCAGGACCGCCTCAGGACCCATTGCACGAATCGCCTTGCCAAGGACCTCGTCGGCTTCCTGCTTTCCAGCGAAAGAATCGTTGCCGCGCATCTCGCCGATGCTCTTGACGACGGAAAGGAGGTAAGGGTTAGCCTGCCACCGAAAGGCATCGAACATGGCACCGAGGACGTTGAAAGTCTCCATCCAGGCAGCCTGGTACTGAACAGTGAGAAGGCCCTCGACGACCTTGACTAGTTGCTGGATAATCTTCTCGTCGAAGATCGAAGGCTCCAGAATGGCCTCCTTGGGAACACAGTTGGCCAAAAACGAAACCAAGCATTCGGACGCCGAAACGCGAATGTTCTTGTGCTGAGACTCAAGGTACCCGGAAACCAGAGTGAAAGGATCGACCAGCTCCTGGAAGGTCTCGGCGGGCGAAATCTGACCGGCGACATCGTAGGCTCTCGACAGAATGGCGATCCAAGGAGGGAGAAGCTGGGTGTCGTTGGGCGCGGGGCGAAGCTCCCTGATAATCTCGAGCAGCCGGGGAAGCTTGGCGGAGGCGACCTCGTCGGCGGCCATGCCCTCAAACATCATCTCGAAGATCTCAAAGACAGCCATGCTCATGTGCTCGTTGCCGGTCTTTGCGATGTTAAGAAGGAGCTCGCAAAGAGCCTCGATGCTCTTGCTGGGCCAGCCGCCGCTTCCAGAGGCGACAGTCTTGACGAGTTGCAAGGCGTGAATGAGTTCGGGATCAAAGGTGGAGTCGGTAGTCTTCTTCTCCTTCCTCTGGGCGGCGGCCTTCTCGGCGACAAGACGGAGGCTCTGCATGGCGGTCTCGGCGCACATGGGGGCGGCGGGATGGTCGAGAGAAGGGCTCGGGGGAGGGTTCTTCAAGATGTTCCTAAGCGCTTCCTGGGCTCTCTTGCGGACCTTTGGGCGGGGGTCGAGAGCAAGTGCAAGGAGACCGGCGACAGCCCGGCGGGGGCCAATCTGGGCGGTGCCGAGCTCCCATTGTGTCGCATCTTGAGCAAGGAGCAAGCTCTCGAGGGAGCCGATCGAGGCCCTCATAAGGGGAGCATCAGCATCGGGGAGGGATAGTACCGGCGCTAGGATGGTGATGATCTGGGTGAACTTGGCCTGGAGGATAGGCTTCGGGGCGAAGGGAGTGACGACATCGAGGAGGTAGACGACGGGGGTCGCGAGGTTCTCGTTGTTGAGGAGACTGAGAAGGGCGGCGAAGTAGGCGGTAGGAGTCGCGGGTGTGTTGCGCTCCTTGAAGGTGGCCTCGATAGCCTCGAGGACACTGGCAGTCTGTGACTAAAGTCAGGGTCCATGTCCACGATGGAGAAAGTTATGCGACAGACCACTGCAAATGGCAGGCTGGGGAGAAGAGAGTAGGGATACAGAAGACGAAAGATGGAAAACTAAAATGTGCATCATGACTCTGACTTACCTGTTTCTGACTCTGGAGATTCGGAGACCGAATCTTGTCCAGTTTCTCCTGCAAAGACGGAGAAGTGGAAGCCATCTTGAATGTGATGAATGGCGCTGGAGTGGGACAATGGAAGCCGCTTCGCAGTGCTGAGACCACGAACTTTAGAAAAGTTAGAAAAGTTGTCGCTTATCGGCGCGCACGCCCCACCCGTGTCATTGATAAGGGTCATGGCGCTAGTCCAAAAACCGACACCCATTGTAACTCCAGGGTTAGCTATGGCATTTCAGTTCACATGTATCGCTTGGCCAGCCGTCAAGGTTATGACATGCCAAATTGATGTTGAATTGTGCGAATAAAGCATACCAACTACAAGTAGGAACCAGGTTCTATTGATGTAAGCCTATTTCACTCCCAGGGCCACAGGTGTGCTTCCGTCTTAGATAAATCACCAAACTGTCGATGACCGTGATAACGATATGATGGTTCATCCCCTTCCCAACCAGAAAACGCCGATACGAAAAAAAAAAACCAAAAAAAAAACCAGGATTCGATAAATGGTTGTATATCAGATGTTCATCCTCCACCCCCTCTATGAGAACTCGCTGTCCAATTCCTCAAAGTTGTTCTTGATCTGGAGAAGGACGGCGGCCTTCCAGTCATCGAGTCTGCTCATCTTATCGTACGCAGCCAGTTTGTCCTGGAACATCTCGACGTCGTTGTTCATGGCGGCTTCCAACAAGTCGACCAGGAGTTGGTATTCGCGCTGACCCGTAAACGATGGGTCCTTCTCGGCATACTTGGCGATGTTGCGCTGGGCAGTGACATTATCCTTGGTCGCCAAGGAGCAGAGACCGGCCTTGAGGAAGTACTCCTTGACCGAGTACCTCATCAGGTTGTTGCCGAGTGACGCCTCTGCGACCTTCTCGAACTTCTCAATCGCGCCGAAGTAATCGCCCGCAAGGGCAGAGAGATCGGCTACCTTGAGCCAGAGCTTGTTCGCAAGACTAGATAGGCACAGTTGGTTAGACAATAATCCATAACCAGGACTAGTCGGGCTTGCAACGTAGTGCAAAAGCCGTGGGTATGGGATCACTTACGCGACAGCACCGTCATTCTCATACCACTCAGCCGCGGTTGTGTAGGCCTTGATAGCCTCGGGCTTATTCTGCAGCTCGTTCTCGTAGACCTCAGCCTGGTTCTCCTTGTGCGACGCAGCTCTCCGGAAGTTGCCCGCCATGGTATACTGCTTGATGGCGGCCTCGACGCAGCGCACAGCGCTACCGGGGTCATCTTTCCTATAGACCTTGAAGGCGTCCAACATGGCATTCGCCGCATCGTTGGGCTCCTTCAACTTCTCAGTGAAGATCTTGGCAGCTTCCTCGAAACACTTGCCGGCATCGATGTCTGGGTAGTGGCAGACTGTCAGAACTCGTCGCGCCAGCTTTATACGGCCCGAAAGCGCATCGTGGGGATGTGTGATGGCGATAACGTACTCGACTTCTGCAACCTGAAAGCGTTGGCTGCCTGAACGTACTGATCCGCCGCATTTTGGTACTTGTCTTCCTTGTTGCTGAAGAGGCCCCACCCCTTGGAGGCGCTCGCGAGGGTCTTCTCTGCCTATTGTTCCCATCCAGCATCAGCAAGGCGTTCATTGTCGCGAAAGTGTCAGGAGGCGTGAGGAGTGGGCAGGTTTCAAACCTCTTGCTGGAGTACGCGCGGATCGACAGCCATGGTGGGCAGGTTATGAGATGGTATATATCGATGGGCAAGTTTTTAAGTTTGGTGTCGCGCTCGATGTATGATGCGGTTGATAGTAGTTGTCTCAAATGCTCGGGATCAGGCGCGCTCGAAGAAGCTCAGGTGTTGATCGGGATGGTGTCGTGTTCGTGGTTGCAGGAGGTGTTTCGTTGTCTCCCAGGGTATGCGGGATGGGATTGGGGGGTCGGGGGGGTTGGCCGGTATGGGGGGATGACTTTAGTGGGCTGTGATCGCTGATGGCTCGCCGTGGCTCTTTGACGCCTGAACGTGTTCCCTGCGCGGCCTTGTGGGGTAATCAAGTGGGCCACTAACATGTGTGAGACAGGGGTCCGAGCCTTCAGCCTACCAAAGCTTAGCTTATGACGCCCAACATGGAGGTACCTCGCAAATGTCCCGCACTCTTTCATCTCACATCACTGAACCTCACACATCGCGACATTTACAGAGCCTCACTTGATCTCACCATCAAAAGGGCCCCAGAGCCGCATCATATATCTGCAGCTTCATACCACAAGTTAACATATTCTTTCACACCCACTACCGCGACCGCGGAGGCATTTTCTCTTCCCGAAACCCAGTATGACAACAAAGACCCTCTGTCGCGCCTGCCACCGTGCGGCTCGCACAACGACAACGACAACCACAGCCTCACTCGCAGCAGCCCGCTCCAACTCACCCCGTGACCTCTCCCGGCCCCGGACCCGGTTATTTACGACCGAAACTTTCCCTCAATCCACCGCCCGCGGCGGCTCATCCAAACTCTCTCCACCACCACAACTTGACCCCTCATCCATCCTCTCTACGCCAACTTGGTCCGTCCGCTCTCTGCTTCCACCGTCATCAACATCGGAGATATCACCCGAAGAAGGCGAAATAACACCCCAAACCCTCGCCCACCTCAGTCGGCTCTCGGCTCTTCCCCTTCCTTCCGCCTCCGACCCTGCCTCTACGTCCCGCCTCCTCTCACCCTTGCATTCCCACCTGCACTTTGTGCGCTCGATCCAATCGGTAGGCACCACGGATCCTTCTTCTCATGAAGGGAAGGAGCTGGCACCGTTGAGCTCGATCCGGGATGAGTCGCCAGAGGGACTGGCGGAGATCACGCTTGATCTGAAGACGCTCGAGGGGGTGCTGGCGGATGAGGATATTGTTGGTCATTGCCGGCGGCCTAGGAGGAGAAAGACGGAGGAGAAGACTAAGAACGAAGTTGAGGATTGGGATGTGCTGGGATCTGCCGAACAAAAGGTTGGGAGGTACTTTGTTGTCAGAAGTGGGAAGAAGGGGGAGCAGATGACCTAGGGATAATGCCAGGGTAGAAAGTTATGTCTTCTGTGGCATGACTATTGAGGGCCATGATCTGCTAACCGATGTCGAGCGATGGGAAACCTCAGCTGGAGGATCTGACAAAATACGGGAAAGGTGTCATAGCTTCCAGCACGTGGAGCACTCGAGCCCTTGGAGGAACCGCACTGGGTGCCTGTCTTGACATATACTCCGAGTCCGACTTCGTCTTCCGAGGTGGATTCATGGGACACCAATCACTCAGCGAGGGAACTATGCTTCTGCGGTTCAAGCGACACACTGCAATAATTGTTTCCTGTACCATACTAAGTGTGTCCTACCCAGATGATCCACATCGATCGCCAGAGATTACTCTGGTATAGAAAGCTAACTGAACTGAAGCTAATTCTACAGTTATTTAGATAACGTACGAATTTCTGTCTCATTTCTCATGAGCCCTGCGTTACCACCCCCTTGTCGTTGTCATAACATAAAGATTAGCAGGAACTTAGGTCCCAAAAAAAGCCGAAGTGTTTAACGTTCACCAATCCTCTCTCCCACCTGACGAGTCGCATGCAGCGTTTACCGCTTGTTCTTCTTCCTCATCCGGGTCCTGATAATACCCGGATCGTTTTTCGCAGCTTCCTTCGCCTTCTCAATGACCACAATCCCACGCTCGACTGCGTCCCTCTTCTTCTCGCGCTCTCGCACCCTTTCCTCTGCGGCTACCATGGCTGCCTCATCTCGGCTGACCTGTTCTTGGTTGATGTCCTCCCAGTTGATGTGCTTCAGGATGCTACCGGCGAGGTACTGGTATCGGAGATGTCCACTGACCTTAGCAGAGACATCAACATTCTCGACACCATCAATACCCTCGATCCGCTGCAAACCTGCGACGCCAAACTGGATGCTGCTCGTCCGATACAAGAAGCCTAACAGGTAGTCGTTCTCAGAAAAGACATTGACAAGCCGACCAGAGACTACACTCCTCATGGTACACCAGACACGGGCTTCCGAGGGCGCCGGTGTACCCATCATGACGGCGTTCTCGACAAGACCGAAAGCTCTGCGCTCAGCCAGGACCATTAGGCAGACATAGATCGCACGGGCGCCGAGACTGTAACCGATCAGTGTTACTCCACGCTCTCCGTGAGCTTTGTTCATGATGGCGTCGGCGAGAAGAGCTCCGGCCTTGTCAGCGCGGACCATGCCGACGCTCCAGGGGTTGTCGATAATCTTGTTGATCTTGAGCAAGCCGAGGGGCCAAAGGGATTCCGTCATACTGGTGAAAACTGGACCATGTTTGTTAGCGCATCTCGAGACGTTACGCTTTGGGATATTGGAAGGAGGCTCACTGGTCCGAGCAATGATTTCCTCTTTGCCATGGACCATGCAGAGCTCCTTACGACAGTCTCCAAAGCGGTACCCATCTTCGAGAGCGAGTCCACCTCCCATCGCACAGCATATACCTCGTTTGCCTGTCCTAAAGCCCGCCAGGGGTTAGTGACGTCCGACTCGTCGGCCAGCCATCCACTAATGGTCAGCACAACTCGAAGACGACGGGCATCTGGCTCGATCTTCCCAATCTCGCCATCTTCGCCGATCGAGCCGCGCAGGGGGACAAAGGCAAAGTCCTGTATCTCCTTGGTATACTGCTCCATCAACTTGACTGAAGTTCTGGCGTTGTAGATACCGAGCAAAGCGCCGACAACAAAAGCACTCTCGCCCATCGAACCCAAGATGCCAGCAGAAGCAGTGGGCCCAAGCCCGAAGCCTCCATTGACGGATCCGATGCCTGCAGCCACAAGGGGTGGCGCGAGATGGCCAGGTATTCCAAAACTGCTAGTCCCAGCCATATTTGCCAATCCGTGCCTCCACCTCCTGGATGGCTTACCAGCGCACTCCTCGATTCTCTTCTGAATCAGCTCCTCCGGATTGATATCCTTGGCCATCCACGCTATAGCCTTGGCAACCCGGACCTCGTCATCAACGAGGACGCGAAGGGGAAGGTTCAGCGAAGAGGTGATATGGAGCAGCAGCACGCGAGTATATGCGCTGTAATGCTCGAGTGAAAGCAAGAGGAGTAGCAAAGCATGAAGCACTAGCAATCTTTTCTCTAGAGGCCAGTAGCAGAGTGTCGACGGAATCGGCGGGTAGAGCTGCATCAGGACAGGGTCGGACTCGATGCTGGGGGTTGTAACTCCTGTCATCGGAATTAGCCGCCGTCACCCAATTCAGATACATGTGGTTGCTACGCGGAGTAAGTACTCACCAGTAGGCCTGTTCCTGCCTCGCCTGTTGTTCGGTATCGTGGAGTTAAAGTTGGCATCTCCAGCCCGCTTGACAGAGATGTCGCCCACTCTCTTGTGTACCGCTGTCTGCCATTTCTTGAAGTGTAGCATGGCTTCCTTCTTCAATTCCTGGAGGTAAGGTCCGATCGTCTTGTCATTTTCCTGTTCAGGTGCGCGTTGGATATTCAGATTAGATGGGTTAGCCGGCTGCAGTGCAGCACCCGTGTTGTTTCTGTTGTCCCGAGGCATGTTTCCATTTTCCTTTTGGCTCCTCGAGGTCTTACCCTTAGTGCGCTTCTTGAGGTTCTGGGGCTGCGTCTCCACGGGGGGAGGAGGTTTGGTGATGCTGAAGTCACGCAGGTGGGCTGGAAGTCCGCTCCAGAACTTGTTACGAACCGGGGGAGCGTCATCGACCAGACCGGCTGAGTCGTAAACATGGGTAAATGTCTTCTGCATAATATCGGTGGTCCTGGCAACGAGCGAGGTTAAGTCGCTCTTCTCCTGGGGCGACAGCAGGGAGCTGAAGTCAGCCTCCCGCTTCGGGGGAACATGTCTTGGTCTGCCGCCGGGAGGCATATCGGCAATGGTACTGTCGTCAGAAGCTGTGTGGGAGAGGGTCGGTGAAGTTGGTGATGCTGATTCGGCGGCGTCCTTGGGAGAAGGCAAACCGGGAGGGATTGGGTTACAAGTCTTGAGGCCCAGGGGCTTTGAACAGCGCACCGCTGGCGCGGGAGCTTCCTTAAGTGCCGCCATGATCAATGGAGGAAGGCGACAAGGCGCGTTGCTTGCTCCTTCTGTTGTTGATTCTGACACCTTAGTCCCTGCCTTGGAGTGGATGGGTTACAGTAGAGGTAGTTGCCCTGACCAACTGATGCAGCGCAGCAAGTGCACTTGTCGCTATGGTGTGGCAAGAAGATGGAGCGTATGGGTGTGTCGTTTTGTCAGGATGGAGTCTGCGCAATTGCAATTGGAAAGAGTGCGCAATAAGTGATTGCCAGTTGAGTGTGGAATGAGTTTCCGGGCTAGTCGTCTTGCTGGGTTGCTAAGGTCTGGCAGATCTTGTGACAGGCGGCTTCCCAAATTGCTGAGTTCGCTCTCAGATTATGCTTCCCCGCTAGGAAAGATAGAAGGAAAGAGCGATGGTCATTCTGTCTCTGGAATTGTTT